AAGCCATCGTCTTAATTCAGGATCGCTTGGAAAATAAAGAAAACTTAAAAGCCCATTATATTAGGAAAACAAAAATGTTAATAGTATTGTTTTTTTTTTTTGCATCTGAAATACGACCTAGTCTTTTCTACCAGTCATGGTAACTCAAAGCGGAAAAAAGTGAGCCGCATTAGCTCCTGGAGATGTGACGTCAACGCCAGGTGCAAAGAGCCCATTAGGGTGTCGCTCTGGTCTGTGGGGTCAGGACCTTTGACCTCTGGACTGTCCTCAGTCTGCTGTCCTCCGTATGAGGAGCTGAACAGGTTCAACTCGGCTGCAGGATGGAAACAAAGAGCTTCTGTCTCTGAGAGCCGGCCTCTTCCAGGAGACTTGTAAAGATAACAACGGGCCAATTACGGCCTAATTGCTACAGATAACCAGTTCAATACGTTCTGCTGGACCAATTTCACTTTAATTGTCCAAATTAGATTCAATTAGATGTTGTTGGTGCGGCTGGAATAGATGCTCTGACTCCCAACACGTTTCCCCTACATGCCGAGAAACGCATCGTCCTCTTCCCGGGGAATCAGCTGATGATCAGATTATCGACTTTATTCCTGGTCTAGGTAATCCAGCTGGGAATTACCTAGAAAAATTACAAAATGGTTAAAAATAATTTTCCTTTCAGCTGAACTCTGGGGCAACGTTTATAAAGTTACACAGCCAAATATCATCAGCAATCATTTGGTTTATTTAGTCATAAGAGAAAAAAATACTCCAAAATTATATTTTCATGTTATTCATTTATTTATGCCAGTTTTAAACAAAAATAGTTAGTAAGATAAATATTTAGTTTGAAACAAAAAATTGTGTTTGAAGCTAAATATTTAGCTTACTAACTGAATGCTTAGCTCACAGCTAAATACTCCAATAGCAAACAACCTTTTTATTTAGCAAGCTAAATATTTGCCTTCAATTAAAATCGCTAGCTAGCAAGATTTTATAGTTTTTGGCTATATTTAGTTAGTAAACTAAGTATGTTGTTTGCTAACTAAATATTTGGGTATTTATCTAGATATGTAGATTCAAACTAAGTATTTAGTTTAAAACTAAATATTTAGCTCTGACATAAACAGTTTGACTGTAAACTAAATGTTTGCCCTGCGTTTTAAATGTTAAGTTAAATAATTAACCTCCATTTTTTCCTCTTATGACTAAATAAACCAAATTGTTGCTGTTAATATTTGACTGAAACGTTACAAACGGTGCCTGTAGGTTAGCCTGTGACCTTTCACCCCAGAGGTCTGGAAACAAACCGGTCGTCTGAAGCGAGTGAAGCACCAAGGACGAAGCCTGAAATGCCTTTTCATGCTTCTGGATGAGAGATTAAAATGTTGTGATCACAGCAGCGAATGCAGCTGTTAAATGTAATAACAGGATTACAGCGACCTCTGAGCCTGGAGGTCAGAGCGGATCAGCACCGACCCGCAGCACCTCAGGTTCTGTGACGTGAAATGACTTCAAAACAGATTCTGAAGGAAAAGCTGGAGATCAGTTGGTTGGACTGGGTTTTTTAAAAGGTCACTTTGCTGCTCGTTTCAATCCAGAATCAGAAATTCATCAACAAGTGAGTTTGAAAAGGTTTTCCTTTCAGAGTCTTTTACTGATGCATCCTGGGATAAAAACACCTTCTCTTCCTGAGAGAACCGAACAGACGGTTCAGTTCAGTTCTGTTCGGTTCAGTTCAGCTGCTGGATGAAGGACAAATTCAAGCTGCAGTATTTTGTGTTTTCCAGGCACATGGCGCCATTTTGTAGCACAGTCCAGTAAATATGTTGCCTTCAGTTATTATAAAAATGCTGTATGTATAAATAAAACTTTAAAGAACTTTTACTTCCTTGAACGTCTTGAAATTGGGCCTCTGTCTCTTTAAGAAGCTCCTGCTCTGTCTGAAGCTCCGCCTCCAGGAAGTCATCCCAACATGGCTCCTCTGTTAACCCTTTAAAGTTTCTACCAGCGTCGCTCTGAGCAGCAGCTCCTATAATGAGCTCAGCAGCTGTTTACTAAATGCTGCTGGCTAGTCTGAAGGAGCTGGGGGGGGGGTACCTAGAAGGCGGGGCTAGGTCCACCCAGACATTTTGGACAGCTGAATGGTTGCCATGGAGATGAAGGGATTTCTGAAAGGATGAAGGACTAACATTATACGATGATGGAAACGTAAAAGAGATTTTATGTGATACTGGCCCTTTAAGTCCCAAGATGCTTTGCTGTGTTTGGGACAAAAACCGACAAAGTGATGAAAATGAGCTGAGAGTGACTGTGGGAATCTGAATGTTTCCCTGAACTTCACTTCACCTCGCCCTTCAGCTGCTCTCCGCCTGCTTTCATCTTCCTCCGTCTGATCCCTTCACTCCTGCTGCCTTCCTCTTCCTCAGCGCGTCTTCGTCTTCCCTTTCATCCCTGCGGCTCGCTCCTGTCTTCAACGCTTTACACATTTTTACCCCCCGTTAGCAGAACAAACACAGCTTCCTGTCCAACTTTTAACACGACCAGTTTCATTTTCTGAAAGCAGAACCAGAACAGTTTGAACGCCGCTTGTTTTCTACGGAAGCCTGGAAGGTCCAGGAGATTCTTTTCTTCTAATAAATTTGGACCATTTTTTCCTGTCAACTTTACAAGTCAGATGAAAGTTAAAAAATAACTCTAGATTGAAATATTAAGTTTAGCTTTTTTCCAGAAGGGAACATAACATTTGATCAGATGTTTTTTTTCTTCTATTATTTCTGACATTAAAAAAATATTTAAAAGAGGAAAATATATTTTTTAAATCTTGTTTTCTTTTTTCGCTTAAGTGTTGTATGGCAAATGAAGGAAAATAAAGATATTTTTTAGTTTTTGATTTTTTAAAATTCAATCAAAAAACTTATTCAGTTTTTTTTAATCTTTTATAGGAAAAATCTTGGAAAATTCATGACAGAAATTTAGTTTCCTTTAAAACTTAATTCAGCTCAATGAAAAAAATACCTTACTGATCCTAAAGGGAAATTAAATGTAAATAATTTAGTAATTTAATGTAAATCATTTAATTAAAGTTTTAATGTAGATAACATTAAATGACTTAACAATAAAAACATTTTCTTTTCCATTATGTTGGATGTTTGCTGCATAAATTAAAATATATTTAGTTTATAGTCAGAAATACTGAAAAACATAATTTATCAAAGGAAATATTGCACAAAAAATGTAATGTTTTAAACTTTCACATAATTTAGAGAGAAAAATGAATTTTATTCAGACAGGAAGTTGTTTTTCCTGCCTGGACTTTCGATGTTTTGTTCTGGTTTAAGGTTTTCTGTTTGGGCTCTGACTGGGTTCATGTTTTCACGCTCTCATCATCCTCCTCCTCCTCGTCATTTTAGTCCCTCACCTGTTTCCAGTCCTCCTCGGTGCTGATGCGTCAGCCGCTCTCCGCCAGCGTCGTTTTTATCCTCAACATTCAGGACGTTAATGTCTTTAAAACCAGAGAAGAAGAGCAAACCTAAACGGTTCAGTTCTCCTCTGCCTCAATGACGTCTGGAGCGCCACCTTCAGTTTAAAGTTCAGATGTTTGGTTTTTGTTTCAACATATTTTGATTTATAATTATTAAAGATCCAAATCAAAACAAATAACATGTTGAAGGAGTTTATAAAACACTCCAATCTAACTGGATCCATTCAGTTCAAATTCATTTTAAAGTGACAAACCGGTTCAATTGAAATCAATTTAATCCTCATTTTACCAGGAAATAATCCAATTAGTTGATAAACAGATATTAATCTACAGAACCCGGCAAACGGCATCAAGTTTCAAATCCTCCTGACAAGCATGTGGCGACAGTGGAAAGTAACAAAGCAGAATGATTAGAAACCAGTAGAAACCGATGAGCTGCTGTGGCTCTGAGCCAAACCAACCTGTTCCCCTCCTGGCCTGTGGGGGCGCTGCACCAAGAACC